ATCATGACCTGAGCCGAAGGCAGACGCTTAACCATCTGAGCCACCCAGGCTCCCCACAATGGTGCTTTTATAAAAGAGATTCCTAAACCCATTCCAGACTTGCAGAATCACAATCTCAGTGTATAACATTTGAGAATTTCTGCATTTTCTTAAAGCATCCAGGTGATACTTAAACTACATTCTGAGGCTATATACTTTCCAGAAAAATAATTCACCCAGTGAATAGGGTGAAGGTCCTTTATTAAGGATGGACCACGGTTGTAGTGCTCTTTCAGGGCTTAAATGAAGAATCTCAAACTGTAGAAGTCTGTAGAAGTCTCTCCATGTCAGCCTTGTGAAGGGTCAGTTTTGAAACCCCAGTAAATAAAACTATACTTACCAGGCTACAATTAGGCTATAAGCTCCCTGAGGACAGAGATCAAGTTGGCTTTTTTTAAACATTCTATCTTCAACATCTAAATCAGGGATGCAACTTAATAATTAATAATTATATTCAGTTAATATAATAGTTATTCAGTAATTATTACTGATTATTCAGTAAGTATTATAATTATTATTCAGTAAGTATTTATTGACTGAATGAAGGAATATCAAGTGGGATATCCAAATTTGTAGTACTTCATCAGATTGTGATTGATGTTGAGAAGAATAACACTCTGGAGAACTGACATAGAATGAGTTTAACATTAAGTCACTGATTCCAACTGTTTGTGTCCCACATTAAGCATTTAATCTTTGCAGCAACAAAATAATTAACAGTGTCTTAATAAATTCAATCAATATTGTCATTGTTATCATCATTGTTATTTCTATTATTTTCTTTTAGACTGGGCATTTGGGACTTAAGTTTAGGTATTTTAAGGATTTCATTAGACTTCACGCTGCTGGAGAAATTCTATTGTTTCTAGCCTATCAACATCTCTTTGTGTCATAAAGATTATTTCCCAATATTTTATTCTTGTTAGCATAATATTACTCACATATTTTATCAGCATACCATCTATGACTTTGTTTAAGACACCAACATAGGTAATAAATTTTATCCTCTCCAGGTAATAATTCCTTTGACATGATCACCTTTGCCTAGGTAACAATGCCCATGTCATGCATCTTTCCCATTAGCAAATTGGGAAAAACGAATGACAGAAAGGGAGGAAGGTTTGAAACACAGGTACTCATGAACTTTCAGATGTTTCTCTCCTTCAATTTTGAAAGTCTGCAATCACATTCATGCTTCATTGAACAATATCACTTTAGCAACATAATTTTTATTGAGTTTTATGTTTCTGGAGATTATCCTTCACTCTAAAAATACTAGAGAACATTCTGGACATTTTTGATTATCCAAGGAAATTTTCTGGATAATAAAATTATCCATTTAATCGATAAAACCATTCAATCTTCTGAATAGCTTTGGCATTGCATACATGTATAATTTAAGTCAATCTCACATTATTTCCTGGAGAAAATAAAAATTTCAGCTGCACTTTATATGTACAGATTGCATTATTGCCTGGGAAATGTGTGTTTATACATTAGCCAGCAATGGTGAACGTGTGGACTGATTAGTCCACACTCTTAGTTGATCACTGTGAACACTTTATAATATAGTTGGCTGGTCTCATAGATGCAGTAATAATTAAAACAAAATAATTTTCTGAAATAACGTTTGACTCTGACATATAGGAGTCCTATTTCTAGATTTTTTGTATTCTTTATTTGGTCTTAATTAGATCATCTGTAAGAAAAAAATGAGTTTTCTCTTATTCAACATCTTATTTTTATTGAATTTATTGAACTTTATTTAGTCCCTTTTATTTCATTTGTTGAACTGGAGAATATATATATAGCTTATAATCTATGATTATATAATTATAATATTATTAATTATATTTTTACTTTGATAATTATTCTTACATTTTTAAAATGCATAATGACTTAATAAAAAATAAGGGTGCTCAATATCTCTATCCTTTCCCCAAAAATATACTCTTTATCATTTCCTTCTGTCATAGATTACTATTGTTCATCAACTGTACAGTGTTTTAGTCATGTGTTAATATTGCTTCATCATATCTATACTTACTTAGATCACCCAGATGTTTATCAAATTCTTTGGACATCTTGAATTCTTCTGTTTCTGGTTTCAATTTCCTTCATCTTAAGCATTATCATTTAGGAGCTCTTTCACTGAGGGCTTAATAGAGGTAAAACCCTTTCATTTTTGTCTTAATTTTGTCCATAGTTTTTCATGGTAGGTAGCTGGATAAATAACTCTAAGTTGATATTTATTTCCTCTCAGTACTTTCAATGTATCATTTTTGTTATTTTGCTTTTTTTGCAGCTTTTGAGAATTTCACTATAAATTTATTAATTTCTTTTTAGTTAATTTCTGTCCTTTTCTTTATTCCTTTTGCTTTGTCCTTATATAGTTGATGAACTGAAATCTCACTACACTGTATCTAAGCATGCATTTATTATTATGCTGCTCAGAAATTCTTTCTTGATTTTGTATATTCTTGGCTTTCATCAAATCTAGAAAATTCTCTCATCTTTTCTATACATTCTCTTATTCATTTAATTCTGCATGCCTTACTTCACTTTTATTCTTAACTCCTATCTTCAATGTTGCATTTTGAATAATTTCCTTACATTTGTCTTGAGCTTATTCATAACTGTTGAGCTCAGTCTGTCTAATCTACCCATTTATTTATTTCCAGAAAAGCACTTTTCAGTGCTAGAACTTCTTTTTCTTTCTTTCTTTCTTTCTTTGTTTTTTTTAAATTTGGTCTTTTTTGATTGTGACTCATTACATTTAATGTTTTAACTTTTCCCTTTACATCTTTAGTAAGTTCTAGCATATATATTTTATGGTCTCTGGAAATATGGAAATATTTCCAATATTTCCAATGTTGCGAGTCTAACCTTAATGTTTGTTAGGTATTTTAAATCCTGTCTAAAATGGATTATTTTTCCTCATGTAGTTTTCAGTGTTGATGGTGGTGTTTACCTGGGGAAACGCTGGGGCTTAAGTTAAGTTATGCCTATCTTCAGAGTTTTTGCTTTTCCTTACATCAGGCAATCTCACAGTACTATTGGCCTGATGCCATTTCTTATATTAATTTCTCAGCTTTGTGGTCCTTGGACTCATTGAAGTACCATAAATTTGAAACTTAACTAACTAGTAGCGAGTACAGGCCCATAGTTGGAATTCTTAGGAGAGGTTTGCTCAGACTGAGGTTGAGGCTGACCTGTTTCCTCGTCCTCTATAGGTAAATTGAGTTTCTCTACTCATTTGTTGGCGTGATAACCCTTTAAGGTTGATGAAATAAAGCAGTATTTCTGCTTGTACTCTTTTTTTTTTTTTTTGGCTAAAAGTTTTAGGTCATACCCCTTATTGGCATCCTGCCCCTCACATCCCCATAATGAGTAACCCTCCCCCTGTATGCACCATTACTGCCTGAGGGCAAACACTGAAAGCTCAACCCTCTTGGTTTGTTTTGGGAAATCATTTAGTTAATCAAGACCTCAGTTCTGTACTTAAAAGCATTTAAAATAATACTGTATCCTGCCTGTCTAGATGTTTTGTAAGGGATGATTTTCAGCTATTCTAATCTGCCATATTACTGGAAATGGAACAGAAGAATCATTTAATAGGTATTTTTAGGCAAATAAAGTTAAATAATGCACATAAGGACACAAGGCCAAGCAGAAATGAAAATGAGGTTTCCTGATTATCTGTCTAGAGTTCTTTTGAAAGTAGCCTTAACATGAAAATCCAAAAGAGGTTTTTAAGCTATTATGTAACTAGAAAAGAGAAATAAGATAGATAAAACATGTTCTCTTAAATGAGTGGCCAAATTGAAGCATAGTGCCTAAATTTTGGCTTTCTTCATTTGATCTAAACAACTATATCGTGTTTCCTGTATTCAAAGTCAGAGTTGTGAATAAATGTTTATTTAGGGATGAAGGGTGTGTGTGAATATAGCCTCTTGCTGAAATAAAGAATTTTTTAAATGCATTTGAAATGTTCAAGATATAATTTCCAGACAAAAATATTATAGCATTTTATAAAGGAGAGAGTAAATATGTCAAACAATAAATGTTTATTAAATGTCAACTAAGTCAAAGGTATTATAAGCCCTTTTTCATGTCTTCCAAGACAGCTTCCAAGCTGTCTCATCTTATTTATTTATATATATCTTCTTTTGATTGCTTTTTTGGTTGAGTACTTCTTGATATCTCATTAGTAAGCTCTTCCTCTACTAAAAATTCGAAGTTACCTTGAGGATAGACCACTGACCAGCTTAATCTAATTCCCAGCACGTTAAATTTTTTTAGCTTCTTTCCCAGCAGCTGACACCTCTTGGCATCTCACTTTCTATTTTGTAATCTACTCATCACAAATTTCACAGGGTTAACAGTCTTTCTCTCCCACAAAATACCCTGAGAAGTAATTTCCAAGAAAAATCCCTTTTTCAGGGATTTCCTATGTTTTTATTCTATAATTGTATCACAGTGCTTTTTACATCCCACTGCATCCTTGTAGGCTGTCTCCAAAAGTTAGCCATGGTGTGATTTAGTTCCTTTTTCCTTTACCTTATTAAGATTAGTAGAGCACAGAGTGGTGTACTTAGAAATACGATAAATTGTGAAAAGTGTTCATACTTTCATTAATTTATCTCAACAAGTGTTCATAACCAAATTATATATATCTGTATATATAATTATGGTATCCTAGTGACATTTTTAAGTCGGTAAATTTAAAAGTCCTTTTATGTTTTTCTATAATTTACAGCTATATAATGATGCTATAGAAAGTCAAGAAACAGGAAAGCACTTCTATCTCAGGAGTCAGATTTGATACATTTCTAGAAAAGTAGAAAGTAAAAGTAAAGTACTATCTTTCTTAGATGGTTTAAGGATTATATCAGGAAATGTACAGAGAATCTCTGATACACATTTCTGTTTTAAATGGCACGTAAAATGTTCTCACCTACCTGTTATTTCAAAAGTGATGGATAGGAAAGGTGCAGCACTAGACTTCGATGTACTCTGATATTTATTTTCTGAAATAACAGGGAAAGAGCACCATAAGCATAGCCTTTTTTTCTTCCCCAAAAATAGCTTTGACCAAAGTGGGCTAGTTTGTGGAAACTACAGATAAACGACTGTAATTATAAATAATTTGCATTCCATTTCGAGATGATGACTATTTTATCTCCCTGTTTCTTTGTAGAACATGGGAAAATAAGAACTCTTTGTTCATCTTTCTGTGTACCCATTCACAGTTCAACCATCCTTCCTTCCATCCATCTTTCCATTGATCTTCCAAACGTTCTGCTGGTTAATCTTATTATCTATCATCATATAGCCTCATTATCCAGGCTGTTTTTCTTAATAACCTCAAATCCCACAGACCTTATCCAGATTTCAGTGTGAATTTTTTGATAGGTTTTCTAGAAAAAAAATGTTCTAAAGTTTCCTAAAATATGTATCATGGAAAGTTTCATAATGCTTTATAACCAACACTCTCGGTTCCCCTCATTTAAAAACGCGTTTGATCTGTATCAACAGAAAGAATATCTTGAATTACCATAGCTAAAATCTACTTTCATTTCACTTTGAGCTCTTTAAACAATCAATTCATGTTCATGCATCCAATGATCAGCAACATTTTCATCAGCTTTCTAGCTACTGCTAACCTCCCCACGGGCAAGGCCTCTTCCTGTCATAGTCTGGTAAGGGTAGATTTCATGCCAGCATAAGCTGAACATTCTTCACAGTCAGCTGGAATTCTGACCAGCCAGCTGAACAGAAACTGTCCAGGGTTTTACTACTGACTCTTCTCAGTAGAAACTTGTCAAATCTTTCTTCTAAAGAGGTGGAAATTTTGCTCACCTGAATATTGTAGGGCAAAGGTTGTGAGGACTGGGAGGGATACCTATGGCCTACAGCAGCACATGAATAAGATGTGGCTACTCTCCAATATCAAGTACATCTATTTTTCCTATTGTCAGTAGACACTGTCACCAACTTAATAAATATTCTGATGATATAAATCCATTGACACAGGTAGGATACGAAATTGTAAATATAATACATTATACTTTGTGACTACCTTAATAATACCTATTTTGATTTTCTGGAAATTAAATATATTAGCTCCAGGGAGGAGAATTTTTATGGTGTGGTGTGAGTCTATTAAGAGCAGTGAATACACCAATGAGTAAAGTGATTTAACACGGACCTGTACTGGTACTAAGGTGGACATTACCATTCTTCTGTGTAATGTGATGTGCCAAGAAAACAAAGGAATTTTATGTGAACTTCGTAGCATTTATTTTCAGTATTTCTGTATCAGGAAATTTTATTTTGAGTTAAAGTATTTTATTTGGGGTTAAGGTATTTTTTAGTATCTTGGTTACATGTGAAAACAAGACATTTATTCATAGAACACATAGTGAGACTCTACAAAAACAACAATGTAGACTTTTTTCTTCATATTAACTACAATGTGAGTTGTTCTTGGGGTAGGTTGTTCATGGTTACCCAGTTGGATTTACTTGAGATCAGTACCTTCTTATTAGGACTGATTGAAGAAGTTATTTTGAGAACTTTTCCTCTCTTTGTAAAGTAAGCTTCATTCTTTTGTATTTATTGAAGGAAAACAGAATGTGCCCAATCCTCACAGCCCACAGCCTAATTATTCTCCACTTCCACATATTTATAGTCTTTACATGTCACCCTTGGGATGCTGGCATATTGAATAAGTTTCCCCTTGGGAAATGTTAAGTGCTTCTGGGGGGAAATTCATATAGCCTCAGTTCTGAGAAAAAAAAAAAAAAGCTGCAACTTTTAGGGAGAAGTAACTGTTTTTATGAAGACTATATGGGCTTATTAGTATTCTTGGTATTTGAAATGAAAGGACACAAATTCCTATATACTTATATGATAAACATTAATTTTTGGCAAATCGATTATTTTCACATCCATGGATCTTTGCTTTGACATTCGCTTTAGTCTAACAGGCACACCTCACCAATGATACTCTTTTTGTTTTCCTTTTACGCTGTGACTTTTATTTTTGGTGCTCTGCCATGCTTTGACAGACTCTACGGCAAAATGATTTAAAAAAAATACCCAGTTGCAATTCAGAATTCTGAAGGATCTTTTGAAAGTAATAACCCACAGGACATAATTGACATTCAGAAACTAAAATCTGATCTACCCTAGCAATGAAATTATACTGCTCTGAAAGGACTGCTATAATAAATCCATCTAAGAGTGTTAAAAATGTAGCCATTAAAATGGCCAAAAAAATATTAATGTACTAACATTACATGTTTTATGCTACTTCCTTACAACCTCAAGATACATTAGTAGTAAAATGTATCCCTAGGCTAGATTCCTAAATGAGTTGACATGCTACGTAAAGTTAGTGGCTACAAAACAATTAAATCTTGCAAGTTGCAAATGCAGAACTTCAGTGTTTATTTTCCATGAATTGCTGCTGGTCACGCGTACCACTCATTTTTTTGTGGGGGAGGGGGCAGAGGAGTCGGCTCTTCTTTTGTTTTTTTGAAATACCCATTTTTCTTGGTTCTTTCCCTTCTCTTCTGGCCCTCCTTTGTCAGATTTCTTCTCTGAATATTCTCATTTTGGGTCTTTATTCTTATTCTTTTCCCTTTCCAACCAACATATTTGCTAGGAAATACTACCCTGTCCTATTTACAACTTGCCAAATACAACATACTCATCTTCCTTGGCAAGATTTCTTTTTTTGTTTTTGCTTTTCTTTAACCCTGTGCTTTAATACACACTGTCCCCTCTGCCTGCAATAAACTTCCTCTTGCATTCCTGACCCACTTACTGTATGGAATGTGTGTGTCATCACTCAGCTATAGGCCACTTCTTCTATGTTTCTGTTTCTATGATACCCCTACAGTTATTCTAAAACTCAAGTTATAATGCATTTCAGACTGTATTATAACTGTTTGTGTACCCTCATGATAACCATGAGCACTTTCCTGACACAAAATTTGTACTGATATTTCCATCCTCACCATCTTGCACAATTTTTGGAACTCTTTTGGCAACTAATAGATATTTATTAAATGGTCTAATGATAAGAGCCCTGCTATCCCTCAAGTCGAGGGAAGGTAAGAAGGTCTGTTTATAACACTGTTTAAAAATATTCCTAGTTGTGGGGACTTATGAGTAACTAATTGAATACAAACTTGATCCAATAATGATTAGAATTTTAGAGTAATAGTAATATATACTAATACATACTTTAAGCATTGGCCATGTTGGACTCACTTATCCTTTGGCACACTTACCAAGTCTCCTCAAATTGAGATTTAGACCAAAAAAAGTTCTAAGATACGTCCGCCAAGTCAGAGGGTTTAATCAAAGGGTTTTAAAAAAAGTCATGCCTTTGAGTTAATTTTTTTTTACCTGTAGTTGTATTCTCCACTTATTCCATTTAAATTCGCATTGAAAATTTCACTCAATGCCATCATTATTTTTTCGATACATTTATTTTTCAACCATATTATAAACAGCAAAAGGGGCTGCTCTTTCACTAGCAGGTTTTACATCTCATATAAGGAAACTCTGGACTTGAGAATATATACGAGCACTCTATGTGTCTATTTACAAGATGCTTTATTCTATTTTTATAATTAATTACTCCTGCTAAATTTTGACTCAGAGCTTATGGTCAGCAAATGTAGAGACTTGTCAGTAAATAGGAACTGACCAGAGACAGAACTGGATTAAGTTTTTTTTACAACCGAAATTTAAATTAGCGTTCACCATAGTGGATATCAACCATGAAATGAACAGAATTATGCTCTATTCATGTTGCAAATATCTGTATCTGTATCTCTAACTCCTCTATCTCTATCTCTATCTCTATCTCTATCTCTATGCCCCTGCAAGGTGATTCCATGCTCAGTCTTCATGCCTAAGTCCTCAAGAAGAAGAAGACATTCTAACTGGTGTAAGGTAGTATCTCAATGTGGTTTTAATTTGAATTTCCCTGATGGCTAATGATGATGAACATTTTTTCAAAAAAAAAAAAAAGAAGAAGAAGAAGACAGTTTACCTTCTTTGTCCTTGTGGGTGTTTAAGTGTGAGAGGAGGTTTTCATTGGCCTGCACACAGTATACCTCTCGTGTCTGGACCCCTCCCCCACAGAGGGCTGTCTGGTTGCCCCGCCTCTTGTCCTGCTGACTGAGCAAAGGGTCCACACGGCACTCGGTCCATTCTGTAGTTCTCCAGCCATACCTAAAGAAAGAAAATGCTGGCAGTGACAACCATGTTTATTGAGTAAAACTTTGCTCTGCTCTTCCGATATTTTTTTCTGAAGAAGATTAATCTAAAAAACACTTTCCTCTCGAATCAACCATAGGCTACTACATCTGTGGTGAAGATTCAGTTTCAATTTCTTCTCCTCTATCCTCAGCAGTGCTCCATTTAAAGAGGGGTTAAATCTAGGATAATCCTGTTTTAATTGCAATTACTGGAAGTTACTTATAAATATTTTATGAAAAGAGAGCATCATGCTGAAAACATAAAATTTTATGTTCAGTTAAGCTGAACTCGGGCTTGCCCTTTCTGGATGCTTATAAACAAAGGAGGAGTGACTCTGGGAATGGAAAACATTCTAAATGACGATCAACCCAAACATTTATTTTGCCTTTAATAAAATGCTTGAAAATTGCTACTTCATACTGGATCAAAATTATAATTGTGTGCTGGGATTAAAAAATATAACATAACAATTCAGACTTTTCTCTTTATTGTCAAGAATGAGTGTTTTTCTGTAGCACTGAGAATCCATGATGAGTGCCTGATGGATGTTGAAAATAGCTGATGTTTCTAATCAGTGGAACACAAGAAAGATGATCTGTGGTTCTAAATTAAAGCTCCAATCAACATTATGATGTGAAAGAAATGTCAGGGGCTTGTCAGCCCAACACTTGCTTTAAGGAGAGAGCCAGGGAACCATTTCCCGATGCCACTAAAGATAGAAAGTGATGGCATTTCTCCACCTCGAGGAAAATGGATATTCTAAAAGCACAAAGAAAATGGCTCATGTAGCACTTTGTGTCACTTTACCCAAGATGCTTCCTCAGTAATCAGATTAACAGCCAACACAGGTACAAATGGATGTGCTAATGTTCATCTCAATTAGACAAAAAAGTTAAATGGGCCTTCATATGTCTGATCTAGGTGCGTTGCTGTGTCAGTGGTAAAGTTTCATGACAGTCAAACTGACCTTCACATCCATTTTTTTCATCTTTATAAGTGGCTGAACACAGGTGCAGGACTGGGGCAGCAAGGAACAACACTCTTGACATATGTTTATAAAGGAAGTACGACATTCAGGTAAATGAAAAAAAAAAAAAAAAAAGGATAATTAATGCCCTGAGTAAGAGGGTGGGGTGGGGGTGACAAGGAAAGTAAAATCAAACAAATCATTCATCAAGGGAGTTAAAATAAAAATTTTACTTTTTATAGAATGGAGTCCAAATGTAGGCCATCCTAGGATTACACTTTTCCTATTGTGAATTGGTCACACGTGCTAAAAAACTGCTACCCTCCAAAAAGGGAGAGAAGAAAGAGATTCAGAATATATATTTATTTTGTTAGTGGTGTTTGAATATCTCAGAAGATAAAGAATAAAACACCTAGCTTGAAGCAAAAAAGGAAGAAACTCAAAGGAGACAGAACACGGGAGATCCTGACAACTTCCTCAAGCCTATTATGTAGAGAGGAACACAGGGTCAGTGGGACAAGCAGAGAAGTTAAGAAGGAAACTCCCTGCAGTTTTCAATCCCTTGTTATATCAGGAGAGAATAGATGAGTCCAAAGTGCTGCGCAATTGAAGGTCTCATGTAAATCATCACTATCTTTGCTATTACTTGTTATTATTGTTAGAAGTGGTAGTAGTAGGATTAATTTTCCTCCTCACTGCCTCGTGAATTTCGTGTTGTATGCATGTTCTTTAAGTGTTTCTGAATATTCCAAAAAAGCTCTCAATGAAGCTTGTGTATATCTCTGAGAAACTAAGATTCTCTAAGTTGTTTTATAAATATTCTATATTCAGACTAAGCTCAAATGTATTTATTGCCAAGATAATTCACAGTAATGTCTTGGAAATATTTTTTAAGGATAAAAAGAATTAGGATATACTGCTAAATATTTCAGAACCAGTCTTATTTCATCAGAATTCAATAAACATTTATTGGGCACTTGCTATGTGCCAGGCCCTGTGATGTATGCTGGGGATAAAAAACAAAACAAAACAAAACAAAACAAGATTAATAACAATCTTGTCCTCAAGTAGCTTAAAGTCCCATTATTTTGGTGTAGTAGATATTCAACAGGATTTGTTATCTATAGTACTGAATTTTAATAGACTTTGCTCAGTAAGCAACAGGAACCTATATTTTGAAAGTTTATTTTATGTTATAGAATGGGGGTTGACAAACTATGACCCAAGAACCAAAACCAACCCGTCCACTGTTTTTATAAATAATGGTTTATTGGAACAGATCCACTCATGTGTTTATATATGATCTCCTCCTCCAATGGTACTTTTTAGTCACTGCCACAGAGACACCGGTTCCCCTCAAAGCCTAATATCCTATCTTCCCCTTTACAGAAGAAATTTATCAATCTCCATTACAGAAGATACATAAATAGAGAATCACCGCTAAAAACCCAGACTTCATGGAGAGTTGGAAATATAGCTTGCTAAAGACATGTTTATTCTGTAAAACCAGAATTCTTTAAGGACAGTGCTTGTAAAACTATTTTATTTTTTCCCACTTAGGAGTCGTAAAAATCCCTATTTCTCAACCTACTCTTTAGTTAGTGTCACCTGGGTAAGCGAATGCGGGGAGACACGCAGTTTGGGGAGACGTCACAGCAGCAGAAGGCGCGGTCCTTATTTACTCACGTGGCACAGGGGGCAACTGCATCTCCTTGAGACGCACAGGGCTCTTTTTCTTCAAGTTCTGGACACTCTTTGTCGCTGCCAATAGGAAACTGCCTAATGATCCGTGTCCTGACACGAGTGCCTTTGGGGGACGCTGTGTCGTGGCACGTTTTTGAGCAGGGACTCCATTCTGACCACTCTGACACCTGGCATGCTTTGGTGATCACACAGGACTGGAAGGTCGTTGGCAGCTTCTCTTGCTGGCAAAAGCTGCAAAAGAACATTGGTATTCTCATCACGGACTAATAAGCAGTTAGGAACTTTGTCTTCTACACTCTAGAGTAAAATAAGCTTGGACATTTTTATTTCTACTTGGAGGTACAATTCCAATTTCATTGAAAATATATCAACATTTATGATGTGTAAAAGCAGTTAGACTCAAAGCTAACATTTGCGTTTCCTCCTATTTTGCAAGAGATGTTAAACTATTCATAGGAAATAGAAAATAAAGGGACTAAGCAAAATTAACTGAAACCAAGTTCACCATATTGTTCATTTCACTCATTCCCAGATTTGTTGTAATTTAGAAAATGTGAAACCAAGAGCTGTTAACATATAATTTTCATTGTTGAGTGATTTAAACAAACATGCCTGGCTAAATTAATACAATGCTATTTTAAATAGAAAATATAATTAAATATAAGTTTAACATTATTTTTCATATTACTTGGAAGTTTAGCTGCCACTTACAATGATAATGTATACTTATTCAAATAGATCAACTTTTCTAGTTCACACTTTAATATACAATACACATATAGGTATCTTAAAAACATCACAGACATTAGAAATATAAGTCTATTTATGTATTAAAGAATACCCTCTCAATAGATCTCCCATATTTACTTATCAGTAAAGTATTTATGTTCAAACTTGTATCTCTCTACTCCTACTTGAATTAGAGGGATGTTGGATTCTAAACTGAAATGTATACATATGAAGATGATGTTATGAATGTCAATATGCACTTCGAGTGGTTTTCCTGGAATTGGATGGCCTTGTGTTGATTCTTAGTTGAACTCTTGCCCATTCTCAATAACCAATAGTGCATGTTTACAAGACACAGGCAGCCTGTCGCCATGATAGAGCCATCTGTTCCAGTGGGAGAACACAATGATAATTCTGCCTTGTCATTCAGGTGCTATATTTAACTATAGTAATTAACCATACTGAGAGGCAGGTCCATTCTAATGCAACGACTCACATTCAATCTTCTTAATTCTACTGGCATGTGTAGGAAAATTGCATTCCTAGGAGACAATTAGAGCTCAAAGCATCAAAGTCAATTTGTTTGAGTTGAGAGGTCTGGGAAAAAGAATCATCCGAGAATTGTGGTAAAAGGGCCCTGTGAGTCAGCTCTGTTTTTCTTATAATGACAGAGAGGATCAAAACCCAATTTTTACTCAAATGGCATGTACTGAGTATTAATAATACATTAGGTACACCACTAACTATAGAGCAAAACTTCCTCTGTAATAAGTTTTCATTCTAACACTTACGAGTTCATTCACAAAAAAACAGGCAAAATAATGACCAAATCATTACCTCTACGATGCCTCTTTACAAAATTCTCCGTATTTAATTTCCTCTTAGATACATTTCTTATCTTTCATGAGACTGTCTTCACATAAACATGCGTATATTGTATATGTAATACTTCCTAAGTTCATGTTCCAAGTACAGGCAGAGGGACTGACAATCCCTTTTAATCTTTTGTAGAGAATTTGACCGTCAGTTAACTACCTCTAGTTAGTTACCTTGGTAATCTGATAAAAGTTGGGAAGTCAACTATGTTACTACATCATACTACTTATGATAAAATGGCCCCCCAGGATAAAATAGCCTGCACTGGGGGAACTACAGGTACCTGGCGGACAGCCACAGCTTTGGGCTTCCCTGAGTGTGGCGACTCTCAGGACAGGGCTTGTTTTTATAGGGACCCTGCAGGCTATGACCACTCTGCTTCAAGAGATACCAGCTTCTGTGGATCAGGGGACTTTTAAGCCAGGACAGCTCTTAGGCCTGTCTGATGTGGAGCTTTTCCTCCTTTTGAGCTGTGCTGCGTGGATTTCTAGGAGAATTCCTACCAGATGAGGAACATCTGAAACTATGATCATGTCAAGTTCCTAGTCTATATCCTTCTAAGCAGACTTGATGCCAAATGTGGTCTAGGGTAGTCACGTGTGTCTTGTGTATACGCAACCCAAGTTTAAGACCTCATTTGAGACTCCCAACAATCATTTTACATTATTATTATTTCCATTTTATAGGGAAGGAGTCTCCGAAAGGTTAGGGAACATGTTCAAAATCGTATAGCTAGTTAGTAGTAGACTGGAACTTGAACTCGGATTTTTAAAAATCAGAGCCCATTTTCTTAACCATTCTTCCCTACTTGTCACAATTTAAACCATAAATCTTGGTGTGTTCGGGCAAATGCTTTAGCTGAGGCCAATGACAAAGTTACTGGCTAATTGTCAAACTAGTATTGCTATTTCACTGCCCCAGGACTTTTACCATCCATGTACTTTGTAAATGTGCTGCTTGTCCTAAGGAGGAATTAGTGTATGGAAAAGCCAAAACAAATACATTTCCTTGATAAATGTTAATTTTCAGAGCAGGTCCTACATATGAGAAATTAGTGGCATAAACACAAAAACAGTATTAAGTTATATTAATATGTGACATATATATTATTTATCCATCAATCTATTGTCTTTCTCATAATTTTTTAATACCCCAAACAATTACTTCAACAAATGTAAATTAACTCTACTTAATATTGGGCTTTGGGTACAAAAAGTTAAGAGTAGAGCAATTAGGTTGCAAGCATATCATTCTGCTTGGGGAGGCATAGAAGATTATATGAAGTAGAAGGTCACTATGGTGAATTTTAAACAATGTATTAGAATTTGTCAGATTAAGATAAAGACAATTTATGGAGATATGAAAGAAAAGAGCCATTGGTTGGTGGGGAAAACACAGGTTTTTCCCTGGCCTCAATGTAAGGAGTTTGTGTTGTACACTGGAAATAGGAGTGGAATTGAAGCCTAGGTCAGATCAAGGGCAATTATGCTGATCCAGAAAGGCACTTTCTGTGGGCGAGAGCACAATTGAAAGACGTGCAGCAAAAAGGACACGATATTTGTTTCTCTTGAGACTTGGACTGAGATCTCAAAGATTTGGATGACATATCATGAGATATGGACTGAGATTTGGCGGGATTTGGATGAGATCTCATGAGATGTACATGAGACCTCAAGAGATTTGTACTGAGATCCCGTGAGAATTGGATGGGATCTCACAAGATGTATTTTATATACACTTGATGGTGAGGTAGAGGGTGGAATATTAGGATACAAGATTGGAGGCAGGGACACCATGATGATGGTTATGATGATGTCACTGACATAATATAATGCACATACCCATAAATAGAAACATATATTGAATACTTACTATGTGCCAGGCAATGCTCAAGCTGAAAGGTATGATCATGAACATGAGATTAACTTTCACTGAATGTCAGCTATGAGCCATGTTCTGTTACCTAGCATATCTAATTGTAATCCTCACAAATACTGTGTAAGGTAGAAAGTCATTTATTTGTTTGCTTGTTTAGGATAAGGAAATGCAATCTAAATGTCTCCCCTAAGTCTGGCAAATAACAGAACTGGGATTCCAACTGAATCTTTCTGCTTATGTGGTTTATGAAGGTGCCAAGGTAATGGCAATAGGAATTAAAAGGAGTTACCAACTATAAGAAAAGAGGAGTGAGAAACCATGCAACCTGATGGATAGTTGAAAGGGTTAAAAGAGAAGGAGTCATTAAATAACTTGGAATTTTTTAACTTTGGCAATCTTGTGAGCAGCACTGCATATCTTTGAAATGGGAGCTTGGAATGAGAAGCAAGTTTCTGGCAGTTGATAAATGAGTTTAACATTAATGTCGTGACTTGATGTGGACATATCCAGGACATATCCAACAGGCTAACAATCAGTAGGGAGATCCAGAATTAAAGTTCAGGGTTTAGTTGAGAGTTCTGGATGGCTTGTATACTTTTAATAATCTTGAGCACATCAGAGTTGAAAGCCAAGGCAATAGGAGTATCTGAAGGCTCACACACCAGGGTACGTTTTAGGCCTTGGTAAGCCCATTTTGTGATTGTTAGTGAGACTAAATAGGGTCACCAAACGACCCATTGTTACTAAACTATTCAGCTGCCATCCTGTACCAGTCTCCTTTATTCTGGCCATGCAAAAAGTTGACCCTAAGAGGGCGCCTGGGTGGCTCAATTGGTTAAGCGACTGCCTTCGGCTCAGGTCATGATCCTGGAGTCCCGGGATCGAGTCCCGCATCGGGCTCCCTGCTCAGCAGGGAGTCTGCTTCTCCCTCTCCCGCTCCTCCCTCTTGTGCGCTCTCTCTCTCTTACTCTCTCTCAAATAAATAAATAAAATCTTAAAAAAAAAAAAAAAGTTGACCCTAAGAGCTTAGGAAAACTACACATTCTGGTTCATTATGGTTTTCATGAGACCATGCCCCCTCAGAATGTCCAAGGCATGGGCTATGCCTCTGCAAGGGTGCCCTGGCAGAAGATGTGACGGTCACTGTGACAGTTTCCTTCTCCTTTACGTGGTATGTTCAGGATAGCCCAGATGGCCAGGACCTAATGGAACAAAAGCTTGGCTTTGATACAGAAACAGATGTTATTTAGTACACCTTATATCAGATAGAAAGTAATCAGATCAATATTGAAAAAAATGAAAAACTGGAGAGCAGAGTTCAATACCTGTCTTTGAAGAGACTTTATGAAGAGCCGACAGAGCACAGATATTTTTGACAGTTACTTTCAGGCTCTGATTATCCACATCTTTAACATTTTTAACGTAAAGGTTAAAACTGATAAATTATAAGTTTCATTTTCGATAATTCAAGTTATTCAAGTTACACAAAAAGAAGAATGCAATTGAGTTCAAATATTTTTTTCCCTAAAATTATTTCTGTAGCTCATTTAATAATCATAACATCTGTGAAAATACACCTTCTTTCTAAGGGTAGTCCAATTCATCTCCTAAAATACCATTATCATTCTTTAGCTTCTTAAATAGAAACTTCTAAACACCCTCATTTTCTCGGGAGCTAGTCCCAACTTTTCATTCTGGTAAAAAAAAGCTCTCCATAAGCTGTCACTGTTCCCACTGCCCTCCCTCAG